TTCTGAATTTTATAAATTACGTATCTTGGATGGGGTAAATGTAAGGGGGTTTGTCATGTGCTGAGACCGTTTGCGACGCTTCACCTCTCTGCAACCACCCCCTCCCTCCCCGACACCAAAATGTAATCGACTCCAGCCATCAAATTTAGCACATTAAATCCTCCCCAGCCACATCCACAGCCTGCCGGCGCCGCCAGAACTCTTTTCCAACTTTTCTTGCACTCTTCATACTGGTTTTGGCCGCGGCTGTGCTAACGCCCGCTGACGTTCCTCCGGTGGACCGGGACAGACTCACCACCTGCTCACAAACGGTCGTTATACAACTCTGCTCTGGACTTGCCCTGCCGTGGCCCGCCGTTTGCTTTGAGTTTGGCCGGGCACGGTTCGGGTCGACGCCGCCGCCGTAAGGAGAAGAGGGACTCTTAACTGGTTTTAGAACAAAATTAAAACTTGCCTTGCACATCCACGACGGTCCCGAGGGCGCAGCAGGCACAGGCAGTAGGGCCCCCGATGCGATCGTACTCGCAGCCTAAAGGGGCGGCGCTGCTCCCTTTCCCAGCACGGTGCTGCCGTCTGGCTCTCATGGTGTCTTTGCTGGAGAACATGGCCCGACGCGACCTTTGCCAACCTCGCCCAACCTGTTGTTGTTCTAGCCTTGCCTAATCTCCGTTTCGTGCCGACTCGGGCTGTGGTGAGCCCGATGGCGCAGGCGACGACACCCTTCCTTGCAGCGTTTCCGCCTGCTGTCTCTATCCACGCATAGTCTCCGTCCAGTCGCACTCTTCATCTCCATGATCTTCACGAGACTCGGACTCCCTGCGCAGCTGCGCACCCCTAGGGCGGGACGCCTCACAGCGCGGCTAGCGCGGCCCGCCCCTGGGGGGGTAGGCAGGTAGTGGCGAGGCGAGGCACCTCTGCAGCCTGCACAGCATACGCGCACGGGGCCAGTGTCTGCGCAGCCCGGCGCAGCCTGCGCTAGGCTCCAGTGCGCTCCGTCCGGGTCTGGCCTGGCCAGACTGGTCTTGGCCTCGCCACCATATCGCCTGGGTCTTGAATTTCAAAGTGCTCTGATCGCTCAGACTGTTCCACTGTTGTGATACTTTTGAGAGCATGATGAGAAAATTTTATTTGCAAGATTATAGGTTGGGATCGGGATGGTCGTTCCCTGTGCGTCACAAACTTCAGAAATAATGTTGGTCGGGATGGTCGTTCCCTAGGCGTCACAAACTTCAGAAATAATGTTGGTCGGGATGGTCGTTCCCTAGGCGTCACAAACTTCAGAAATAAGTGGTAATGAGACCAGGGAATGCAAGTCGCAGTTGCGGGACTCAATAGATCAGTTCAAAGTTCAAAAACGGTTACTACGACGGCTTGTTCAACTGAACGAACTGGAGCCACCCATTACTCGGGTCACATGCGAACTAAATCTAACAGGAATCAAGAGCCAAGGTACTTACATTCCAGGTGAGAAAGGCCGAGTCTGGAAGTTAGCCTTCTGTTTAATGCTCTCCCCTTCCCCTCTCCTCCTACTCGCCTCGGCCCTTCACGGCCAAACTGGCTTTGTGTTGGGCGGGGCGAGGTTCGAATCGAGGCGGACCGCAAGAAGATTCGAGGTCAAAGAGAAAAAGTCAGGTTGTGAACAAGGGAACGAGAGCCAGGCGGGCAGGCCCGGCGGGGTAACGGTACAACAGGGAATCAGTGGGAGTACAATGCCTACAAACCGATGGCTGAACCGAGAGCCTCGGAAAGACATACACCTGCCCACCCAAAGCAGAGATTTTCACTTTAAAGATAGATGAAACACAGATAGGTGCTAAGGTTCCAAGGCGGTGTCAATGGGAGAACATTGGGTTGCACAAACTAAAAACCAAGGGCTTGCAAAGGAAATTTTTATTATTTTTTAAAATATATTTGAAAGCAAATCTTTAACATAATTTAAACCTTGGCTCACATGGTGGCTTTCACAAGCCAAGTCTGCAATTTTAAAATTACATATTTGAAATTCTAAGTGCATCATGAAATAGAATAGAAGCTCACAAAACTTAATTCATGTGCACACGGAAGGTTACTATCACAAAGTATGTACCATGTGAGGAACAGCATTTAGCTGAACAATCCAAATGGTAATTAACGATTGAATGGCATTTCCCCAAAGTGAAAATGTCTAAAAATCACAGATCATTTTGAGTAGATGTAATTATTTTGCATAAAATAATACTGCATTTTTAATGTTATGCTAATCACATTCACCACTTTAAGTCATCTTTTTCTAACCAAAATTCTTGCTCATTTAGAAACATAAATAAAAGAGAGCCAGTGAGTGTAGCCAAACTTCATAATATACCTCAAACTTAGTAAAGTACATATACAGGGAAACTAAAACAAGGAGACAATAATATTTTCTTCTAATGGCCCATAAGTAGCCACAGGAAATTCAAGTACAGCAATAGAAATCATTATTCCAACAAAAATGGTATTTAAACAGGCCTCTTGTGCTCTCTCAAAACAGAAGTAAGTACTGAGGAATACGTGTATATGGTAGGTAACATTAGAACAGTGTTCTAAAGGTAAAACAAAAAAAATAGAAATACTGTACTGCACTAATACAATAAGTAACAAGAAACAATCTAAGTAATGCACCTCATGATCTCCAGACAATGTGCATAATCAAAGTCTACCAAAGCATCTCATGACTAAAAGTAAGATGAATAAACTAGACCAATTTCTTGAATAAAAAGCACAAACTGACAATCGAACGATTTTGGACTTTAAAAATTCCTTACACTCATTCACAATTTAATAATCATTTAAGAAGAACCCTTGTCATTAAAAAAAACCTTACCTAAATTGTCACAGTATATCCACCACTTGCACAACTTAAGAACATTTTAAGGTTGTTCAAGCCTGAAATAAAGTGAAGTATTTCAGATAATATAAATTAAGTGTTCCAGGAAAGTGGAAAAGGAGCAACTAAACCCAATACATAGATGTTAATGGTCCGATTTAAGGGAAGATTCTAAAAAACAAACTCCAATATCAAAATTTGTTCGATGATAAAAACTGTGGAAATAATAGCATTATGAAAAACAGAAATATGTATAAAATCAAAAAAAAAGTAATGATATAGTGAAGAAAATAATAATTGTAGGCGTTGAGGTAAGATGTATTTTGATTTACACTGAAACCAGTTTACATGGGATCATGCAAAATGTGTGGAAAAGTGTTAGTTTTGATGAGATTGATTGATTTACAATTGATATCAAGAATCTATGATACTGATGGACATGGTAACAATGTGACTAAAGTAATTAAACTGTTTACTCATATGTTTTAGACAACTAGCTTAACATAGGCAGACTTTCAACTTCTCCCATTTCAGTGACAGTGTCATCATCCATTGTATAACTAACCATGAATTTAAGGTTAACAGGAACCTGAAAAAAACAACACAACAGATTTTATTGGTTGTTGAAACAATTTGGTTACTATTTCTTATTACGTAGATTGAGAAAAAATAATGAGCAAAAGCATACCTTTGAAGGATTAGCAACCAGCATTACTTGAGTGATTGCTGATGGAGGAAGGAATGGGTTATGAGCTGGAAGTTCTGCACTAGATGAGGAAAGTAATTTTAACTTGCACGACTGAAAAATTAATAATCTTATGATAGTTCAGATTCATAAAAAGAACATTAAAGACAAACAAATACATTATAGCTACACTCAAAGCATTTACAATAGTACACCTTACCTTGGGAACCACTGCCTGGAAAACATAATTGGAAAGTGGAGAGGAGTTTTTGCTTATGGTGGATACTACATAGACTGACACATCAGGGCGAGGGGTATCTTTCGCCAGGTGTAAGACAACAGATATTCCATTACGTTCATCCAGAGCAGTCAAAGGGGGAACTGGGCCTAGCAGAACAAGAAGAGTATAAAATTGGAGTTAGAAGTACAACACCCAATAACACAGCTGTTTAAAATTTCTTACCAGGTTTGATGCTATCCAATGTTACTGAAATGTCATTTAAAGGCTTCACCTCCAACGTCTTTGCTGATTCCACTGGCTTTGTGTTTGTTAAAGCATCAACAGAATTGGTTGTACTCTTCAATGTAGAGAACTCCGTTTCTTTTTTTGGGATTGGATCATTTGTGTCAGGAGCCTCCTCTTTAGCTGACCTTAAGCTTATTTGAGGAGCTGAATGAACTATTGGTGCAGACAATGAAGCAGCAGCTAAATTGGAAGGATCATCTGATAAATCAACCATGGCATCATCCCCATTCAATAAATCGTCAGCTCCCGTAGTTGAGCTGGTTTTATCTTGAATTTTTTGAACCATAATATTTGTAGGCTGTGACTGATTTCCAATCAGGAAATCGAGATCAAAAGTTGAAGTCAGTGAACTCTCAGTTAGACCTCCAGAGGCAGTAGAACCGTTTTCATGACTCACTGAAGTCCCATTTTCAGATGTGCCTGATGAACTCCTACCCAAAAGATTCATGGGAACTTTGGCAGGCACCCTGCAATGTAAATTTTCAAAATTAGTAATTTCCTGAATATTTTTGTTTTGAAAGACTCCACATGATAGGGTACAAAAATTACTTGTTAAAATGGGAGCCTGTCCTGACAGCTGATGGCAAACTTTGTTTAAGTAGTGTTTCACCAAGAACATCCAAATCTTCTAGAGCCTTTAAAGCACCTGGTTTCTCCTCAGATGATTTCTGGTCACTAGGGCTTGTTACATCTGTAAGGTAAAACAAACATATATTCTCTCCGTACCTTGGTAATAAGATTTTAGATACATTTCTACATTAATAATAATTAGATAATAAAAAGAAAGTTACGAGTTGACATTGAAGTGGCAGGAGAGTTTAGAGGCAAAGGTTGAAGCACAGGTACATTTGATGGAATAAATGAAGAGCTACTTGGATCTTCCGTGGTAAAAGCTAATAAGTCACCCACACCATCAAGGTCCTTCCTTGTTTGAGTCATGCCTAAATCATTTTTTTAAAACAAAGGGAGGATTCAGGAATGAGTAAAAACAAACAGAAAATAAACAAGCATGGAAATATAAGACCAATTGAATTACCCAATTCAGCCAGTTGTTCTGTAACTGCTGCTGTTGAATTGTCTCCACTAGGTGTCATCAGGTCCAGCAATGAAGATCCAGCAACTCCAATATGTGGGGCCTTAACTGCTGTTGTTGTGCTTGAGGTACTTTTTGGTATGGGTTGGCCTTGTACAACCACTTGCATATACTTAGAAAAGACATGTTTTAATTCATCAATAGTTTCCAAAACTTCCCCTGTGAAGATACAATAAAAAATCGTTACACAATATTGCATACCAGCCAATTTTATTTTCTTTACCACTTGTAGCATACCAAATAAGGATTCTTCTGGTTTCAAGTCTCTGCTAATTTGAAGACTAAAGCGTTCACAACTTTGATGTAATTCTTTGATCAGATCTAAGTCTTCTTTAGAGCTTGAAGAAGGACGATAACAATCTAACATTTCGGACAGCAGCCTTGCATTATTATGAGCTGCTTCTAACTCTGTTGCACGGCGACTCATAATTTCACTTCTTCGCTCATCCTGCAAAATATAGTTCATTTGTTGACATTTATTAACTGTTAAATAGTATAGTAAGGAAGGACATAAAATTGATGTTTCCACAAGATATACCTCTTTGACCATGGTTTTGATAAGTCTGTTTGCAGCTTGCAAATCTTCAGGATTTTTGCTTTGTAAAAGTTTTTGCAGAAGACGTTGCTTTTTTTCATCCTCAAACACTGAACTTTTGCTAGATCCTGCACTGGTCTGAGAAGCTGCTTGAGAAACTGCTTCTGCGGGAGGATCATCAGTAACGACGCCTTGCTTCCGGAGCATTTGATAAGCTTCCTTTATTTTAGTTTCTCGAGGATAGTCCATTGTCCAAGAATACATTAGTTGCAGAACTCTATCCCTGACTGGTTTTGGAGTTTGGCTGCCAAGATATTTGGGCGAAACTAGTTTAATCATCTCATTAAGGAACCGAAACTTTCCGATCTCTGTGTGAAATGAGGAACCACAACGTTTCATACATGCTTCTAGCAGCTAGAAAAATAAAGGGAAATTTTAATGATCAAAAAATATATACAACAATAAATTTAAATACCTATCTAAGAGATGAGATAATGCTTACATTCAAGCTTTGTAAAGCTTCCCATTCCTGAGGACTTTGAATTTGTGTTGTAATTAACTTTGTTGCAATGTGAGCACTGTTTGGCTCTTTATTAACCATTCCACAGAATGCATCTATTGCTGCGGTGTCAGGACCAGGGTTAGTCGGGCTTGTTGCCCGCTCTGAAAATAACAGATAAACATGTGTTAGATACTTCTGTTGAAAGGGGGTGTTGGCCTGGGACCTTGTAAGCAATGTGAAAGTCAAGACTAACTAAATTTGACAAGACACTTAGCACAGTTGTGTCACAACTGCAAGTCACAGTTTAGCCACCTAGGACTTGAGTGAGTAGAACATGTTTTGCTTTATACATATACATTCAAATTATGCTCCAAGAACTCAGCAAAATTCTCTCCAAATTTAAAATTACAATAACAAACTAGAAAAGCAGTACAAAAAAAATCTAACAGAAAAACACTACAGAGGGAGAGACCAGAATGAAATTTCTGCATGGCGACTGAAAAAAAATAACATCACACACATTCAAATTTGAGAAATAAAACTAAACATACTCGGCATACTAGCATTTGAGAATAACCAAGGATAAAAGCACTGTGGACTCTGAATTTAAGCAAGTATAAATTGCTAGCAGAAGCCACAATAGACCTCTATTTCCTCAACTTGGCAACAGCGCAAATCTCGGGTTTGATTTAGGTTATAAATGTAATCGGGGCGTGTTTTCATATCAGTAAAAACACTCGTGCAAGCTAAATTCATGACCGAATCGAGTGTGAAGGAGTAATTTTGTTGACAGTCACTCTAATTACGATTAATCTGAAGTACAAAATCCGGCACGCGCTGTTGCCACGTCGTGAGCACAGGGTCTTTAATGACAGGTAGCTTGAGATGCAATATAACCTCTCTGTGCACTGGAAATTCTTTTTCGACAAACATTTACACCCGGTACGAAAATGGTAATCTAATGGACCAGGAATTGTCAAATACAGCGTAACATTGCATTAAACATTGCTGTAATGTGTCAGAGGCTAGAAAGTCTGCTTCGCCCAAACTGCAGAAAACTATCACATTTACGTTGAAAACGAAGAGGGTAGGTGCAGGTCTGTAAAATTGCGCTATAAAACGTTGATGGATTTTGTTCTCCCTCTTCAGCACAATACTTACGAATTAAAGCCTCTAAACTTGTTGCAACAATGTCCATTTTGCGGCCATCCACTGAACTGAGTCTTGTTATGTTGTTGATGTTGATGTGTTGTTGGTACTGGCAGCAGGGTTACCACACTCTGACTTTTAAGGATTCAGGATGTCAAAAATCAAAAATATATCTTTTTGTTTTGTTACGTCGTCAGAAAACGTTGCCTCCTATCTCTTACTAATAAAGGATTAAAAGACAGAAAACCAGGAAAGTAATCTCATTGAATGAAAATTTATTTGTGCAGTGTATATTTTCTGGAATTTATATTGATCAGGTATCAGGAAACACGGTAAAGACGGTAGACATTGAAACATTGAATGAACAATGAAAATTGAAGATATAAGATACTTAAGAACCAAAGAACAAATTCTGGAAGTTGAGTGGACTGCTGGACTGCTCAAAGTAGTGTAAAGCTGCGCATTTCCGATCCACACACACACACACACAAAAAACAATTTCCAATAGGAATGTCCTGAACAATGAGTTAATATGACCTTTTAGAAGTTTATACAAAATAATTATGGGGAAAATCAAAACAGACTTACGCGCACTTAGCAAGTTATCTTACAGCATACTATGTGATGTTAAAGTTAAAACAACATTTTAAATTTAGAAAGTATCCACAATACTCATTATCAACATGACAAAAGATTTTATTTCAAATGAAGAAAGAGGGAAGAGAAAAAGAAAATGAAATAGTATTTCAACAGTGAAACAGAAGTTTGGACCTCTTTGACAAAAAGCAGTTTAGGCGCTGTCAAGACTTAACATTCAGTTAAGATACTAGACAATTTCAGCGGCTTAGGCAAATGGAATAAACTAGATCAGACAGTCGAACAAAAAGAAAATTAAAGGATGCTAAGTGAGCGACTAAATAAGTAGAGGACATCTTTACTTATTAAGAGGGAGGAACACTTCACACTGTTGAGTCTCCACACTGTCACAAGTTTTTCCACAATATGAAATTGTGTAGTTACAGGGTCATCTGGAAAATATCTTACAAAGAAAAAAAATATCTATATTTAAAAAAATCAGATACTGTAGAACATAAATATACACCAATAAATAATACAGACTCATCATCAGCATAGGAGATTGAGATTACATACGTTTTGGACAATGAAGAAAATATACACACTTTAAGTTAAAACTTTTCCATTTCAATGCTTTAGGCAGAGTCCACTTACACAAATACAGTATATACAAAAAAAAAAATTGAAAACATCACAAATAAACGGGAACACAATGTACATAAAGAGTCTGCTTGCTTTTCAGTCAGAAAAAAGAGGAAAAAAGATGGCTAGGAAGTTGTTTTAACAGGTAACAAGTCAAGATATACAATTAAAAATGTATGAAAACAACAACATGAGCTTTATAGAATAAAGGGAAACCTTTCAGCAGAATTAATAAAAGTCATCGGCAAAATAATGTATGTTACAGTTAAAGTCCACTATGCTGACCTCTTTAAAATTAGCAGCAGCCCTCTGGCTAAAGTTCACTTTAGCTCGTCTCTGCTGAATTCAGGCAATTGATGTCAATCAACATTAGCCGGATAAAATTCACATAACCATACAACAAATGAAAATAGAATAAAAATAGTTGAGAGCATAAAACAAGAAACAAGAGACAAATCAATTCTTTAGATGATGTTCCAGGAGAGGAGTATGAATGGTCATTTCTGAGCATTGGATGTGAATTAAAATATTTCTGCTACATACCAACTTGAAAATAATAAGTAAAACAAAATTGTAAGAATTCTGAGTCAGTGGCATTTCTAATTGAAGTTTCAGTAATTAGAGATACACTAGTAAGTCTTGAAAATCTCTAAGGCAATGGTAAGAAGAGTAGAATGACTGCAGAATGAGTACTTCTTGCAAAATCGGATTTCAATCCCAGTTCACACATCAATGTTAGCTAAATAAAAATAGAAAATAAAAACCAAACAACTAAATCTTTTGCAATTCTACACTCTCAAAATTTCCAGAGCTTTGTTGTAACAAATTGCAATCCAATCTGGTTGTGTAGCTCCCCATTGGATTTGATTTATTTCACCTTCAGCAGCAGTGTAAGCAAGAATAGGATCTTCAATAGCTCTTGGCATTTGTTGAATGTCCCAAATAAGTGCTTGATGATCATCACCTACAATTTAAAAAAAAGCAGCAATGATGATTTGAGAACAATATAAGAGTAACAAAAAAATTAAAGACGACTCAATTTGTTAATTTGCATACCAGCAGTACAAATGTGACAGGATGAATGTGGGGCCCAGGCAATACCATTTACACAGGCACGATGGTTGTTTAAGCGAGCGACTGGAGTACACGGTACACGCACATCAAGGATAATGACCTGGAAGAACAATGGATAATGAAATTATTAATGATTTTTGACTTAAGTTGCTGGCCTAACCTGACTGCCTGCCATTATGATTGATTTATTTTTGAGAAGCCAGTGAAGCTGAAGCCATCCCATCATAGAGTTTTGGTAATCTGACTGGCTGAGACCGACTTGCAGCTGGCTCTCATTCAACCAATAAGTTTACTCAAAACAAATGACTGGGTAGCCTCAGCTTCACCGGCTTCACAATAAGCTTAATGAAAAACTGCTCAATAACAATAAATTGCCAACGAACCTCACAAGCATCCATGGCAACAGTAGCTAGATAGTTTGGGTCTTGTTTGTTCCATGCGAGACGCAGCAATGGTGTATGAGCAGGATCCTCATATATGATTGTGGAGTGCTCCAAATGCCTCAAATCAAACATTCTCACAGAACCATCAGCACCTATAAGATAGACAAAAATATCAGATGATATTTTTTGCTTAAAAACAAATAGGATGAAGGAAAAGTGTTAGATTGTGTGTCTCACCAACAGAGGCAAACATATCTCTTCCACCTCCAGCTCGACTGAATGCAATATCATACACCTCCTTATCATGGGCAATTAGTTGCGTTTTCACATGACCCGTTACCATCTGAACTCTTCCAACCATCTGGAAGGAATAAATTTTAAGTTAATCTCTTCAAGCAGAGTAGTTTTATAAATGAGTTCAAGACTAATTACCTGCCCAGTCTCCAGACCCCATATTGTACACGTGGTATCAATACTGGAAGTTCCTATTAAATTTGGGTCTACTTCATTCCAATCAAATGAAGTAAGGGGAGCACAAAAATCTGAGTTCTTGTTCTGTTAAAGATGAAAAATATGCAAGTTAGGAGAAAGTAATCAGTACAGAAAAGTGCTAGATTTTGTATAAAAAGGTAATCATTTGGATGCTTACATTATTCAGAACACATTCTAGGCGAGTCTCTGGCTCCCCTGCCCGCCATACCCTTAGGTAGTCACCACTGGTTGCTAATAGATCAGTAAATACACCTTTCTGAAAAGCATAAAATAGAATTACAATCGATTGATATATCAATACAACCAACAAATAATACTATGAAAATAGCCAGCAATCAATTATACACTATCTGGAATCCACATAATCTTTGTAGTGGGGTAGGGATGATCAAAAGTGCTTTTCGCACTAATATCTGAAGTATCCTCATCAAGAGACACAATTTGAACTTTGTTATTATATTCTTCTACAAAGCTACCAAGAGCAAGCCTGAATGGGAAAAAGAAAGAATACGGATGAAGGAATTTCTGGTACATAAAATTTTGATGAGTAGAGATGTTAAACTTCACATTTTACACATCATACCTGTAGCGTTTGTCTGGACGCACTGACCAATTCATACTGTAGAGTGGCCATGGAGCTTCATACTTGTAAATCTCTTTACGCTTAGGTGTTGTTCCATGGACCGCCATATTTAGGTTTTAGTTTCCTTAGGAGAGGAAAGTAACAATTTGATAAGTGATACAGTGTTAATTGAGAAATCCAAAATGATCCTTGTCAATGACTTAGCACAGAGTAACAACAAAAGTTGTTATATGAACTGGACATGAGCTTCACATAAACGAGGAGAAGTGGGAAAGTAACAAACCTGACAGTCCAGATATTTTAAAAGGGGCAGCGAATCATTTGGCCGGGTGCGAGAACTTTAATGCAGGGGCCGAAGGGTGAGGTTATTACTACAAGCCATTTTCAATGGAGCAAACAGAGATCTACAATTTTCGCCACTAGTCTTGCGGATATTCTCAAAAGAATAATAATAGGTAAATGGCTAGCTATTTGGTATTGTTCTGACAAAAGTTAGAGTTTAAGTTATAAATGAAACGGATAAGACCGCTGAAAGAAAGGACAGACGATAAACACAAGTCCGAAAATCCAACGCTTGTTTTTGTTGTTTCGCCTACAAAACTGCACATAACCTGTTTCACAAGGCAATGATGCGCAAGGAATTCTGATTTTCTGACCTACATATTTTTCATAAAAGGAAAAGGAGGATAGAGTCGGTGGATGGGTACCAACCTACCAACCTCAACAAGCAACTGAACGAACCCAAACTTGTTCTTTGGGACTTGGCTAGTTGTTGTATTTGTTGTTTGTGATTTTATACAGTCAAAAAGTATAACGGAATACGTTCATATTCATACTATTTTATGACTTGTCGTACATAATACGCTTTATATTCCTGGACAGGAAAAGTCAAAGCAAAGTGTTGTTTCCAAGTGCAAGTACAGTACTCTGATTGTATGTATTTGTGTCTGCTCCAATTAATTTATGTTATCTGGTTATCTTTACTCATAAATGGCCATCTCTTAATTTATTTGTTCTTGTAATATTATTATTGCAGTGTTATCAGTGTACCCGATATACTTTGCCAGAGCATTTGGTGCAAAATGTTTGCAGTCGACGTGCGAGATGGCGACAGGTTATTCTCAAGATTTTAATATATCTTGCCGGCTTTGCCTGACGAATACGTTGCGGCTTCTTCCCATTTTTGAAACACAAGATGGTGGTTTAAGTCAAAAAATTTTTACTTGTTTATCCATTAAGGTTAGTACTCCTAATGTTCTTTAGTAGGTTTTGTTTGTTTGTTTGGTTGCATGCATCCTGCATTCCATGATTTTTGTAAGCTTGAATAGTAACCCCCCATTTTGTTGACACTTTTCTGTATATGTGTTGCTGTTTTTTGTACTCATATCTAATGTTGACAATGTGTACCTTCCAGGTCTCTGAGTACGATGGTCTACCAAAATATATTTGTCACAAATGTGAATGCCAAGTCAATATGTGGCATTATTTTAAAGAAGAATGTGAACTTTCGCAAAAAAAGTTACGTGAATGGCAAGAATATTCCCAAGCTTCCTCAGTATTTGTACCTGGAAGCAGTGAAAATGTGGATGAGGTAAGTGTCAGAAACTGGAAAATTAATTGAAAGTCAGATATGCTTGTTTTTACATCTTCACTGCTTTAAATTTAATTTGCATTTTTCCAGGCAGTGTACATAAAGCAAGAACCAGAAGATGAGGTCATGCATGTTTTACATCATATTAATGAAAGTGTTAATTTTGATGATCATGTCGAGGATATTAACAATGAAATTGATCATTCAAATAAAGCAGTTGTGGAATGCTACTCTGCTGCTGATAATGAAGATGAAACCAGCAGTCCTTTTACCCTTGTCATTTCTGGGACTACATCTGTTGCTCCAGAAGAAAGCTCTCCAAATGACACACATGACATAGCTGTCAAAAATGGAACATCTGTCCCTGAAGGCAGGAAGAGTACAGAAGACAGAAATGCAAGTGATGTAGTTTGTGTTGAAACAAATAATCCAGACCGAGCAATTATAGAAGTTGATCTAGGTGATTCCAATGAAGCAACCTCATCCTTATCAACAAACTCAATATTTGTTAGTAGATCATTATAATTTGGTTTCTTAAATATTCTCCTCAAAATGTTAGCCCAAATAATATTAATGGATTCCAATTTTGGTTGCAGGCCAATACCAAACTTGACAGTGCTGCTGAAAGTTCTTTAATGTCAACTGAATCTATGGAATGCAGTGAAGAACCTTCCATTAAGAAAGAACCTCCAGAAACCGTGAAATCCTCTACACCCTCTTCATCCTCCACCGATAATCTGGATTTTAAAAAGAAAATTTCAAAGTCCTCCTTTTCAGAAGCATCCATCAATCCATCAATCAAAGGTGAAAAAGTTTTCTACAATTACTTAAGTGTTGATCTACCAAAAATTGAAAATGATCTTTTTGATGAGAACACAAAGCTCTGCAAATTTTGTAACAAATTCTTCCAAAATAATTCTAATCTCTGGAGACATATCAAAGATAAACATGCCAAAGAGAACCCTTTTCGGTGCTCTGCTTGCCGTAAAGTTTTTCCTGGACGTAAAGAGCTTACGACACATCGGGTTAAAACTGTTAGCAAGTTTTGCAGATCCGGGCGGGAACCAAATGCAGATACATCAAGGTCATCCATTATTACTCACGATGAAATAACTAACGGAAAAGTGGGAAGGTATGAGTGCAGCGAGTGTAATCACAAGTTTGGTCAGTTAAATGCAATATTGGCTCATGTACGAACGCATTCTGGAGAAAAACCATTCTTCTGTTACAAGTGCAACAAAGATTTTCATCTAAGAAAGTCAGCCTTAAAACATGTTTCTGGGTGTCCTGGTAAAATGGAGGGCCAAACAGTTATTCCAAAGGGAAAGCTCAAACTATTACCAAATCTAACTAAGATTTCCAAGGGATCAAAATTGAAGTCAAGTGGAAAGCCAACTCCAATTAAAGATAATTCTTGTACAAAATGTCAACTGACTTTAGAATTTGGCACTGAATTTTCTAGCCATACATGCAAGAAATGCATTTCTTGTTCTAAGTTTATTCCAACTGAATTATTACAGAAGCACTTTTCTCAATGTTTTAAATCTTCAGCTGTTCAGGATGTTGAAAGCAAATCTGAAATTTCCACTTGTAGTACTAGTTCAGTTATTTCAAATGTCTCTGATTTAGAGGCCCATGTGAAAACCGAAGAAATTGATCAAGAGAATGGATCTGAGAACACAGAAAAAGTGAAGAAAAAGAGGAAAACGCCCAACAAAATCAAAGTTAAAGTTGACTTGTCTCGACAAGAGCTATGGGCCAACAACCATGACAAAGATGGAAATTTGATTTTAATCTGCCAAATTTGTCATTTAGCATTTAGTAGTAGAAAGAGTCTTTATTGTCACCTTCTAAAGCATTCTTCAAAAGCTTTCAGGTGTAAATTTGAACAGTGTAGTAGTCTGATGTGGAGCTTACGTGCCTCTTTTGAAGCTCACATGTTAAAGGTTCATGGTGTTTCTCATAACGAACTAAAGGATTATCTAATGACAAGTGCTGAAGAATTATCAGGATCAAGTCAAGATCCTCTTATCCCATCAAAGTCTAAAGCTGCTGGAAAATACTCAGCAGTTAAGTTAAAATGTGATACATGTTTCAAATTGTGTAGTTCAGTATCATCATTGAAATTTCACAAACTCACTCACAAAAAAATGACTTGCAAAAAATGTGAAATAACTTTTCCAGCCTCAATGGAAAGAGCTCATGTGTGTCTGCCAAAAGTCAAGGTAGAGACATCAAACACAGGCGTTGAACAACCTGCTCAAGGTAATCAACCACCAGTTCTTCCGGAAAAACGTCCGATTCAATACACATGCCATCTTTGTAAAAAGAAATTTCACACAAAGAAGATTTTGTATCAACACAAGAAGATGCACATTAAAATGAAAATATACAAGTGCAATGTGTGTGAGAACTCCTACAGTGATTCTGGTGCACTTCAGAGTCACAAAGAATTGGATCATCCAAATGAGTTGCAGTTGCCATGCGTCAAAATTGAGATAATGGAAACCCCAAAAGACGTTGAAATACAGCCGAAGGAAGAAACTAAAACTGTTGAAAAACCTTGGAAATGTAACAGATGCTCTAGACGTTACTCTTATAAGGAATCTCTAAGGCGGCACATGAAATTACATCGATTGAAGAAGCCTAAAAAACCTATTGACGTTAATAACCCTGAAAGTTTGTATTGCACTCTCTGTGACAGAATGTTTGAAAGCAGAGGTAGCTTACAATGTCACAAAGGATGGCATTCACGAGAAATGAATTCATCTGAGTCCTCTGTGAGCCCTTTGAAAGAAGATTCTCCTGCTTCTATGGAAGACAGTTCTGCAAATACCCCTATTGTAGAAGGGAAAAGTACTTCTACATCTTTGTCATTATCCTTTGATACATTTGGCTGTGATATTTGTTCTAAGAGATTTGCTACTCAAAGGAATTTGAACATTCATATGGTATATCACAGAAAAATTAAGTCAGTTGTTGTAGAGGATACAAATAGCAAGATTTCTGCACCTGATGTGAATGCACCTGTGAGTGATCCTCTTACATTCAAATGTGAGGCTTGTCCCCAGACTTTCTCTGATTTTTCTGAATTCACTGCTCATTCAAATTTACACAGTAACAATGACTTGTCAACCGTAACAGCGGATGTGTCTGTTGAAATCCCTAAAGTAGAGCAGTTGCACTGTAAATTGTGTAATAAAGAATATAGGTGTAAGAAGAGTTTAAAGTACCATATGATGGGCCACTCTGGTGAGAAACCCTATAAATGTAAGAGCTGTTCCAATCAATACAGTAATCCAAATGCCCTGGCTAAACATGAAAGGGATAGACACGCACCAATCCTTCGGCCATTCTCCTGTATCAGGTGCAAGACCAGTTTCATCTTAAAAGAAGATCTACTTGCCCACCGGGAGAAATGTACCCATTAACTGCTTTCTTTTATAGTCCATTTTTCTGATGTTGACTGTTCAACTTTTCTAACATTCTTTTAACCTGTATCTATTCTAATTCTTTTTAAAAAAAACAAACATGAAATAAGCTTTGAAGCTTTAAATCACTAGTTCTTTAGTGAATTATTTGTAATTGGCTCCAAGCCAAATCAAAACAATCTAAATCTTTAAAGGTTTAGCCAGCTGTGATACGGCAAGTACATCGTTTGAGGGAGTATCAGATGTATTTGATCAAATATGTAAAATGTGTATTTATTAAATTGATTGGGATGTCATAGATTTCCTCACTGGCTGTATTCACAGCAATAAACTGCCTGTTTTGTTAATGAATTTTTAAACGATGATTTGATTGTTGAGGTTAATTAACTAAAGGTTGTTGGAAATTTGATATGTTCATTTAATAAAGTGACTGTCCATCCTCTATATAATTTTGTCTTTATTCAAACTTGAAAAACAATTTCAGAGGACATAATAATTTCGGAGCTATGGTTGACTGTTCGACACAAAACTGTCTGCCCACCAAAAAGAATCTTGGAAAGACAAGGCAAAAGAAGAAGAAATGAAAAATTAACAGGTCCATTACAAAAGAAACAATAACTAAAATTAATTTTTACAATATGTGATTCTTATAGACAAAGTGTACACAAAAAGAGAAAAAAAGTCAAACTTTTAAAAATTTACTGCTAGGTATCAGTTATTGTTAAAAGGATAGATAAAAGTACAAGACATAAATTGCTAATTGTTTCTAATCATCATCCTGCAAAAAAGACAAAAATATTATCACAATTGGCTGACATAATTACTTGAAGATAATGTATCCCTATCTTACCTTTCTTCTTTTGGGTGTAACTCGATCATCAGGCATAGATCTTTTCCTCTTTCCTAATAGGTTTGAGCTAAAAACTCCTGAAAGCAAACAAAATAGCAATGATAGACACACTAAAAATTTGAGGACCTATATGACAGTAATTTTAGTAAATTTTAAGGAGCTAGAATTAGCTATCTTAGAGGATAAAAAAAAGGAATACCGGTACCTCCCCTAGATGTATTTGCTTTGTCTGCAAGTCCTCTCCGAGTACTGAAACCTTCAGAATCTTGATCTCTTTTCTCTGCAGTACGTGTTCCTCTTCGTGATGGCAGCTGCCCACCCTCAGCCCCCACAGTTGAAACATATAACTGTGTGTTTCTATACTCCTGTAATCGAACGACAGGTTTTAACAATTAATCAAAAACACACAAAAAAAGGCAACTCAAGATTAATTGATAGATATCTTACATTCAAATGGGTAACAGATTCCTCTTGCATTTCCTTGGCCATATCATATAGAGGAGATCCTTTTATGTTGTACATAATTGCATTATAAAACATGAGTAAAATATCTCTCTGAAATTCATCTGTAGTGCGTATTGCTCCAGTTTCTATATTCTTTTTGATTGTTTGAAGGTCAAACCGTCTGCAAAAACATAAGTTCAAAGGTGAAAAGGTAAGCAGTTTGGTACACACAGAACAAATTAAGACACAAACAGTACCTAAAAATCATAGAACTATATCCTGGAGCTTTGTCATCAGTGATTGGTCTTAAAAAGATTGATGCATTTTTATGAGCAGCAATACGGTTGTAGACTAACATAATAGACTTCTTCCATGCTCTATGTTCTTTCTCGTCATCATGACTTGCACCAGTGGGAACAGGACTGTTGGGAACAGAGTCAGAGTTATTAGTGCTCTCACGAGTATACCGTCCTCGTCCTCTTTTAACTGGTGGTGGAGCAGGTTCTGTATCTCTAGTGTTATCATCTTCGGTAGATGGAGTTTCTGCTCTCACAGGTTTCTCTTCTTTGATTTGAACTGCAGGTACTTCACTATCCGCGTGCCTAAAAACGAAGAGTTAAAAGAAGGGTGAATACATTATGTGAAGCATGTGCATGGAAAGTAAGCAAATGACGTATTATATACCTGGTATCATCATCCTCCACTTGAACATCCACTGTCTCCTCAGCCTCTTTAGCTTCCACCTTTGCCTGATTGTCATCTTTCTTTGATGTAACTAGAGTATTCTGTTTAGTAGTGTCCTCTTCTGAAATTAATTCATTTGAACTTTCACTAGTGATAGGAGATTTCTCTCTCTTTGCAGGAGATGACGTTTTTTGTTTTTTAAGCCCTTCCCTTGGAGATAGTGGAGGAGATGAAACTTTCTGCATCTTGAGTCCTTCCTTTGGAGACAAAGGTGGAGATGAAATGCGTTGCTTCTTAAGTCCTTCCCTTGGTGACAAAGGTTCATCTTTCTTCATAACTTCATCTTCTTGTACATCTTCGGCTATTTCACTCAGTTTGTCATCCTGTTCATTTAGTTCAATAGTACTACTTTCTTTCTCTGGTTGTGACGACTCAACTTCTTGGTCTGTATCAGTTGGAATATCAGGCAAGTCTGGAGTTGCATTGTGATCGGACTTGTTCTCATCAATCATTTTAACAGAAGCTAACTCTTTTGGATCATTCTTTTCACTTGACTTTTGAAGGTTACTGGAAGGTGATTTAATTTGTGGCTGCTCATCAATCTTTTGAGGAGACACACAAGAGTTCCTTTGTTCATCAACATTGTCATCACTACTTTCCTCTGTGGCAGATTTTGATGACTGATTGCTGTCTGCTTCAGAGTCTTTAAGACCATCATCATGAGGGACTACAACCACACTACTGCTGGATGGATCCTGAATTACATGAATATTGTCAATGATGCTTGTGGCTTGCCCACTTTCACTAAGTTTGACTAATTCACCATTGTCCTGTACAAAGAGAACACTAGCATTTTCTAAATCTAAAGTCTCTCGAGACAAGGCCTCTGAGTCTTCAGTTGCCTGTTGAAGATCCCCCTCGCTAGGCACATCAGATTTAGCCAAATCATCTTCCTATAAACAAAAAGCAATAAACACACATTAATGAAGGTTGTAAAGCACTGAGTATAAAAAATTGTATTAGCTAATAACTCAAGACAGTACCTCCATAACAATTTTCCGAGGACCCATGTTTCCTTTGGCAGGTCGACCAACACTACGTGGAGAGGCAATAACAGATGATGGGGTGGATATTGTCTGTTGAGAGGACTGACGTACTGGAGAAGAGTGTACCACAACTGCGGCAGGTTCATTCTCATGTTTCTCTTGGAGGTGTTCTTGAGAAGAATTTACCTCGGGGTCTTTAGTAGTGTGAGATTGTAGTTTGCTTTCCATTTGATCAGAGGCTGCAGCCTCATTTGTATCTGCAGCATCTAGCATATTACCAATGTCAGTTTCAACATCTTGACTGACAATATAAACCATTTCATCCACCAAACCTTCTGGCCCAAACTAAAGAAAAACAAAAAAAAAGAAAAGAACAATATTCATCAATAACTGTTTAAAAGAGCATTGGGAGTTGGAAATTTTAAAAAGGTACATATGATGAAATGGTTACCTCTTGAAGTACCACATCGATTGAAGAGTCTACAACATACTCCAATTCATCGGGTGATATCTGAGGAAGATCAGCAGGATCCAAGTTAACCTTATTCCCAGCTTCTGAAAACAATGAAAGAGAACCCACATAATGTACCCGGTTTACTAGAAGTTTTAGTAACTTCAACACTGTAAAATAATCTACTTCTGCAAGGTTGACAAAAACATATTTCTAAAATACAGAGGTTAATAATTAATTAAGTAGGATCCAGTAAGTTGCGTACCTGGTGCTTTAGTTTCTGAATCCATAGGTAAGACAATTTCCATGTTATTTATATCAGGAATAGACTCTGTTTTCAGTGCATCTAAAATAAACACAACCAATTTAATTGCGTGCAACAAAAATTGAAAAAAAAAAGAAAGGAAAAAATATATAGCAAAGATCACAGATTTAAAATTTCAAAATAAATGATAATAGAACCAATCAAAGGAAAATCTTCAGAGTGCAATAATACATCTTAATAATATGCTCTGTCTGCTTACAAGCAAAAGCCTTAAGTTAAGATTAAGAAATGAGAATGTAGTGTTGTAAATAACTGAAGATGGAACTTGATTGGAATCCAAGACAGCACTTGCAGCAATACCAATGCAAAGAATTATACTGCTGCTTTCAAGACACATACCTACTGCCCTTGGACTGGCTGTTTCTACATGTGTATCAGTAGGCTCTTTATCTTGTGCTGGGGGTGTTCCTATGGAGGGATCTCCTTGTTGATGTGCCTCATAAGAAGTTACTTGAAGAATAGTACATTCTGATTGAGAAGTTTCCGTGGACAGAGGGGGTTGGCTCTGCTTGGGAGATGCAAGTTGCTCTGGCATAGGCAGCTGTTCTGCAGTTTGGAGGCATTGGTCTAAAGTAATGGGAACCTCTACTTTACTCTGCTCTGTCGTTCCAACTTCAGACAGACATTCTATGGTTTGTTTAGGATGCTGAGAAATAGTTTCATTTACATCACAATGGTCAGGGGTCTTAGTTATAGCCATTTCAGATGTTACTTCAACAGAATTGCTCTGCTCTACAGGTTTTTCATCCTCCGCCTCAGGCTTTTCGTCTTCAATCTGACTGCTCGTTACGATACAGTCTAAATCCTCTTTTTCAACCAATGATACACTACACTGCTTGGTCTCCATACTATCTTCCTCATTTGAAAGGTCCATTGTGGGCTGGCATTGATTTAGGTCAGTTGGACATTCTATACTTGACTGAATTTCATCTACTTTAGACTCAGTAAGAACCACTGTGGCTGCACTCGGGCATTTAGGATCTTCGAAGTTGACCAAGGACTCTACTAGCTGAGGATTACAATTTGGTTGAATTTCATCTACAGTAGCATCCATAATTTCAGGCAGAATTTTAACTTGTGTTAGTTCTTTGTTAAGTGGAACTAGATTTACTTTGGGATTCTTGAATTCAAGCAGAGCTGGTTGAGGTTCAACATGTTGTGCACTATGATCTACTTTCGATTCCTCAATATCACATGAAATTTCTAGTTGATGTTCTAAAATTTGCTTATTTTCACTTGATTTGGGATTCTCAAAATCAAGCAAAGGGGCTACTTCTACTTGCTGAGGTTCTATCACTTGTTCAATTTGAGCTGATTTTACATTATTAATTAAGGTCAGTTTCTGAACAGTTGTTGGGCACTCAGGGGACATAGGACCTTGCACTTCTAGCGTTGATTCTACAGATGACTGGCACTGCTCAGAGGGTTTAAGGGCCTCTGCTTCAGACCCATTTTCTACAGTCGGTTGATCCTGTTCATCACCTGTAGACACCATTGAGGCAATGAATGCTGAAGCTGTGCAAAAGCAAAGCTTATGACAAAATATTTTACATGGAGTGAGTGTGGGTACATCAAGCTTTGGTAAGATAAAATTAAGTATGATGTATCAAACACAGATTCTTCATTCTCGTGATAGGTAGAAGATGCTTAGTTTAAGATTAAATAATTACATTTAAGGAAAAAAAAAAAAAAAAAAAGAGACAAAGAAATAGGGAAGACAGGAGAAAAAGAAAACTAGTAATTGATGAATGAATGAAGAACAATCCATCTTATCTACTTAATACCCACACTCGATCCGAAGAATATAGTATAATATATTCAAAAACAAACGGTAATAAATGTAAAGGATCCTACTAACACTTTCCCCGTACAGCAAGCCCACAAAATTACTTTTACATTAGTGCATATTTAAAAAAAAAAGCATAACAAGCAAAAATAGATTTAAAAAAAAAAAGTGAAATGGGAGCATGCTACAGTAGGTAGTAATCAAGTAGGGGACAATACATGGTCAATTAAAGCAGAAGTAAAGATAAGAAGGGAACAGCAAAGAAAGTTAAAGGCTGACCTGGTTTAGAAGTGGGGGTGCTGGCAGGCTCCTTGGCAGCACTGTATGGTAGCTGAGGGAGCTTTCCAGGGGTGGATGGAGGGAGCCCAAGCAACATGGACAAGGTGGGGGAGCCTGGGGAAGTGATTAAAATATCATTTAATTTCCAAACCTTGATTCTTAATTTTAGAGATTAGATAATTAAATGAAAGGTTTTTTTTTCTTCTGTTTTTTAAAATCATGTTGTTAAAGGGACTGGAATTAATTTAGGACCAGGGTGATGAAAAGCGTGAGAGGGCAGAACACAAACTTGCATGCAGAACAAACACGCCAAGGGTTCCTTAGTGTGTAAAATCAACTGAAATTCACACATTGCAGTGCACAAAGCATAAAAACTTTTGTGATAAAAACTTGGCGGTAAAAAGGTTCTTACTTGATGCACTTCTGGATGTCTGCGGTTTGGGAACATCATCATGTCCAGCCAAAGCATTGGAAACTAGAGATTTGAGGTTTGGAGACAATGGTATAGAGGCGCTTGAGTTCGGAACTCCTGGAAAGGGTTGAGATGTACAGAAACAGGGTGGCATTCAAAGTCTTAAGAACATTGAAAATAAATTGGTACTTCAAAGGTTGGTCTCCAGTATGAAATAGTGCTATCAAACTTTTACAAAACTTACCAGGCGAGGAATTCAATAGGCTAGTAATTGTGGGAGAAGCCCCACGCTGTGATGTGATAGCTGAGTGAAGTATGGAGGATGACTAAATAGAAAAATACACATTATAAACAGAACATATACCTTGGCAAAAAAACATTGGAGAAATTCTGTCAGATAACGAAAAATGAAATTTGACTCATACCTGGGGACCAGTGACAGGTGATGGACTTTCTAACAAGCTAGTAAGGAGAGGTGACGTAGGAGTGGATGCTGGCTTTGATTCAACAATTTCTTCACTGGGAGGAGGTTGCTAGATACAAATGAATGCATTTTAACTGAGAGTGCAAAGGAGATGTCACAAATACAGAACCATAATACGAGTAATTGCTTATTACCTCACTACTGGATGGACTCTCTACAGTATCAGCTTCACTTCCGAGCTCAGATTGATTACTTGGCCTACGAGCAGCAGCTCCACGGAGTTGCTGCTGAGCAGTTGGAGATCGCCAACCAATTTCCATATCTTGTTTCCTCTCTTCTCTTTGCTTTAACAGTTTCTGTTGCTCCTCTTGTTCTGCTTCTTTCAATTTCTTCTCTCTAGGTAGGTGAAGAGAGAGACAACATAGCAGAAGTGAGATAAGAGTATTGATTACAGTTGACATGGAACATGAAAACAGTTCCCACTACTTACTGTTGGATTTGCATGAAAAAATCATCTAATTGGCCATCTGCGAGCCCATTTTGGACTCCATTCATTTCTTCTTTGTCTCTGAGATATACTGCACGTGTTTCATCCATCATGTTACGTAACTCTAGAATTCTTTCTGCAGAAAAATGTCAGAAGAGCGCATGACAGTTTGAAAGCTAATCAAAATACATTAATCCATCATTACAAAAGCCAAGCTTACCTGCAGTGAGCTGCTTCACAATAACTTCAGCAGGAGTCATATCTTCTGCTTTAGAACCATCGGCACCCCTCTTTTTCCGTTTAGGAGTTTCAATCTGAGTTAGGAGATTGTCATATTGAACAGCACAACTCTTTTGAGAGAACCAATCTGCAGGACGTCCTGGTTCACCCCCAAAACCTTTTAAACTGCGACTAACTGACATCCTAAAGCAAGATTAAAAATAGATAAAGAAAACATTCACACAGAGATAATGTTCTAAATACTTTACTTCTAATGCAGAATAATTTGAATTACCAATTTTGATTACCACTTCTCACAACACTAGAGGCTAGACACAGTCTTTCTCTAGTAGACCAGGGATCCACTTTCCCTCGTTTCAACTTGAGTCCTAAAGAGTTAACATAAATATCATTAAGGAGTATAGAGTAATACACAATGAACACAAATTTTTAAAATTTCAAATTTAGATTTAAAATGTTCACAGCGCTAGAAGAAAAGTAAAGCGATTTAAGAATGTAATTGAAAACACAGGTTGACGCAAAGGGTGCTACTGCTATGGGAGGTGTGTAAAACAGTAATATGAGGGGTTGTAACAGGACTGTAGATGAATGCAAATTCAAATTGATTCATTAACGACGTTACATTGCAAAATCTACATTTTGCCAAACTGAAGAAATGTACTTCAAAACCACACATAAACAAACAACTGTAGCTATTGACAATAAATGACAAGAACTTTCTAAAAACACATTAAAGCAAAAAACATACTCTCTTCGACAGACGCCATGGCTAGTTTAATTCAGAACTAAGCCAGAAAGTCACATTCCGCAAAAGCAGCGTCGTAGAAATGATATCGGCATAGCGCAAACACGCTTAACCTCTTTTCGTGGACTGTTGGAAGTTTGGCTGCTTTTATGCAAATAAAAAACAAAAAAGGGCCGCCTTCATATGAAACATATGAGAAATTCTACATCGCTTTTACGGTTAGGTTATGGCGGGAATATTTGATTTGAGGAGGCGGGGGCGTGCATGGACTGTCTCAAATTCTGAGATATTCAGGATTCGGCATGAGAATAATAATATGGGCAAAGTTGATGAGTTAGTAAAAGTTAGCAGACGCTAAAATAGTGAGCCTCACAAAATCCATGCACGCACACAAAGCCCCATAGTAAGGATTTACGCATTATTTTCATTCATGTTCTAATTCTTCTTCCTCCAGCAAAAATATCAGCAATCGACAACGCATCTGGAGAAGATAAAACGAAGTTATATGTAAACGGAGCCGGAACCGAGCCGGAACCATCACACATTAACCTAAAATAGCGCCTGGAATAAACCATTCCGGTAGAGCCGAAACTAGCCGAAACGCAGAAGAATGCGATGAACAAGAATACGGAAGTCTTCATGTTCAAGCATAGCTATTTCCGCTTTCATCTTTCCCGCATTCTTCTGCATTACAGCTTTACAGGAATGCTTCTTGTTCATCTTTGCTACCCGTTTCGGCGAAGTGCCACAGCTACAAGTGAAAGTCAAATCGACGTCTTCTTTACATCGGATTTGACGTCGAAACGGAATGGTCAAAATTCGGTCATGGGCGTCTGCTCTCGACCAACCACATTATTGTTCTCGTGTCCGAATGTCCGATGACTTACTTGCTAACAGTCCAAGAACGGCACAACTTATGTTTCCGATGCCTTTTTGAAGGCGGCCCTGCGTCCTGCGTCTCAGACTGTCACTCGCATTCTCTATCTCCTGTCACGACACGGATACGCCGCCACGCCGCCTCGCCGCCTAGCAGGAGGGCGCCATTTGACATCACTGGCAACACCCCCCCCCCTCGCGCCCCGTGTCCCACGCCTCCCATTCCAGTTAAGAAAAGCCAACCCTGAGATAAAAAAAAACGAAACTAATTCGTACAATTTGGGCTAATATAACTGTTCAAAAACTGTCCGTCAAGGAACGGTTCATGCTTGAAAGCGATGAAAGCAGAGCAGATTGCCAGTGTCTTGTTCTAGAGACACCCTTTGATATTGCTGTTGACACTGAGCTTGGTACTGAACGAATGCAGGGAAAGGTACACGTGAATGAATGGCGATTCGGAGAGCTCGCCCTATCAGACTCGTTCATCTGGAGGCGCTTTTCACGCCGTCTCGCGGGCGGGCGGCGGGCGGCGTGGGGGCTCAGCCACATGGCGCAGCATACCCCAACGCGAGTAACAGTGCGCCCATCTGAAAGGAAATGCGGCCGAGTGCAGATGGTCGCCCTCGCCCTCCCCATGGCATCGCCCTACCCCCGCCAGCACCACCCCCGCACCGCGCGCCGGCGGGACCGGCTCCACTCGCCGCGCCGCAGCTCCGCGCCGCTCTCAGTGTTGACCCGGGCGCCGACGGGAGCAGACACGACCAAGTGAACCCCACCGGAGCGGAGCGCCAGCGCCCTCCCCCTCGAGCACGACCTTGTTGCCGCGAGCCGAGACACGACACAGCACGACTCACGCGCGGGAGGCCTGGCCGGGCGCGCCGCACGCGACCACACCGCGCTCATCGCGCTGCCCCACGCCATGGAGGGCGTCATCGTCGCCGTGGCGCCGCCGTCTGCATTGTCCTAGGACCGTCGTCGGCGCCAGGATGGATGCGAGCGGCTTCCTGCTCGCCGGCGTCCTCTGCCTTCTCATCACACCAGGTGCGCGTCGCCTGTCTGTCTGTCTGTCTGTCTGTCTGTCTGTCTGTCTGTCTGTCTGTCTGTCTGTCTGTCTATCTGTCTGTCTGTCTGTCTGTCTGTCTGTCGCCGTCTAGGTTAGGTGGCTTGTCGGTTGTTGGCGCGCATAAGGCGGGTACCATGCTCTCGAGCTTCACTGTGCCGAGATGGTGGCGGCGCCGGTGCGGTGACTGCGGCTTAGGTTAGGACCATTTCCGACTCCGACTGGGCGCGAAAAGGGTTGTCGAGCCTCAGAGTGTTGTGCGCTGCAGCAGAGAGCGTATGGACCGTGTTGCGTGCCAACAACTGAAACTTTCAAACTCGATTCGCGTGCAGTTTCGCGCTGGCCATGGCTTGTTGTCGTATGATGCAGCTCTGCTAATTTTGAAGTGGGAGAGGATGCCCCGTCGCTCGTCGCAATGAGCGTGTCAAACTTTCCTGAAATTTGGGGTTGGGGAAAAAATGGTCGATCGCAACCCTTCAAAATGGAACATCCTAACGTGCGGCAGTGGCATCCTGGCCGCCATGCGTCGCCCCGCCTCGGCGAGTATTTAATTTCCGCCCCTTTTGAAAGGACAAGGCTGGCCGCGCCTCTTTGTCATTCCTTTCATTATTGACAACTCATCAGGCCTGTATTATGACATTTTCTTTTGCGGCGACCCCCCCTCCCCCCCGCGCGCCCCAGCCCTTCCGCAGTCCAGATTGACATTTTCCTTATCTGGGCTGTATTGAACGATCGGGGGCGAGAAAGCCTTTCGGCAGCGAGCGAGCAGGCAGCTTGGACGCGGGCCGGGCATGGCCAGGGGTAGAACGCTAGGGTAGTAGCGAGGGGTCGACGACTTGAAGTTTGGGGGTGCACAGGAGTACTGAGTATGCGGAGTACACCAGGAGCACAACCAGTCGTCAACCCCTCCTCGGGTAGCAGAGGGACTCCGGGTTATTAGGAGAAGGACACCGACCCCGGGTCCCCGGCTGTTGAAGAGAGGGTCGGGCGGTGTGGGGCGAACCTGGACCTGGTTCAGGCTGAGAAGGGGACGTGAGGCAGACCGAGCGACGTCGTCACTGTCACTATTATACTCCAATTGCACTACCCAGCTGAACCGAACCGGTGCGATCACGGCGATGATGGTACGTTGTGGTTATGGACGCGTTTCGAAAGATCTTGACCCCTACTGTTAGTACGCTGATACTGAAAGAGCGCGGATTTAACTCATTTTGAAAGCATTTGGCTGTTACACTCTCATCTGTTCCACAACATGCAATAACCCAGGGTTGTCAGTGGAAAAGTGGGTGAAGAGGGGCTTAGTAAGCGTTCCGCACTACACGGCCACACATCAGCAAGCGGTTTTGCGAGCCCCCCCGGCCCCGCGCTGACCCCGTGCAGCCCCCACGCCCCTTCCCACACCTGCGGCCGTGTCGCGACGGAGGCCCCGAGACGTGTGTGTCTTGCACTGCTCACCCACTCCTGGGGCTTCGGCGGGGCTGCACAGGAGCCGGCTTGGCGTGCGCCCCTAATATCCGCCCGACTTGCGGGGGTAGGCAACGCGTCGCAAACGCGCGTCTCGG